GAGCCCCTAGTAGCTTCTTGTTACTAGTAGTAAGGCACTTGTTACTACTAGCGATGCACTTGTTTCTAATAGCTTCTTATTTTCTGGTGATTTTCGCTGAACTTTACTTCTCTGGCATTTTGCGGCAGACACCTTTCTTTTGGCATTTTTTTGCCTTCAAAGGCGACTGCTAGTAGGTTGGATGCCCCTACTAGTAGCAAGAGGATGCTACTAGGAGCAAAGCGCTACGAACGGAGCAAGGACGCTACTAGGGGCTCCTGGCATCGCTACTAGGAGCATTCTTACTAGTAACAAGAAGCTACTAGATACAAGAAGCTATTAGAAACATGTGCATCGCTTCTAGGAAACTGGTAGTAACAAGAAACTACTAGAAACAAGTGCATCGCTAGTAGTAACAGGTGCCTTACTAGTAGTAACAAGAAGCTACTAGGAGCTTTCACTTTCCTTCGAGGACTTGGCCCTCAGCACCTTGAAATTTGTTCGAAATCGTCTTGCAGAGGCCGAATCGGAGAGAGCTATTTTTTTCTTTCTTTCGAAAAACGAAAAAACAACTTAAGCCTTTGTTCCCAGCTTCCTCTTGCTCCGTTAGCGATGGCAGGTCCAAGGCACGATGTTGTCTTTAGATCGATTGATGCTCCCGGTCTTGGCCAAAGGCAAAATGAAAAACTCCGAGCCTTGGGAACCAACCGCTAGCCAGGAGCAAAGGGCATCGCTACTAGGGGCTCCTGGCCATACTACTAAGAACAAGGACGCTACTAGGAGCAAAGGGCATTTCTACTACAAACAAGAAGCTACTAGAACCTATTTGTTGCTAGTAGCGATGCCCTTTGCTCCTAGTAGCGTCCTTGCTCCTAGAAGTAAGGCCAGGAGCCCCTAGTAGCTTCTTGTTACTGCGATTTTTCAGATCTGAAGATAGTTGTGAAGTGCGTTCTTTCACTGAGGAAAACTACATTTGGAACAACGTTGCGTTCACAAATTGGTCGCGGAATTATGAGTATGCAAAGACTCACTGCGCGCCTGGGATCCTCTCACACGCCCACGAGGCTCGAGCAACCATCGTGGAATTGGAATCAGAGATTCAGGACGACGGCGCGTGTTGCGTGTTGCGCGCGCCGCCCGCCTGGCCGCGGCTGAAGGTGGCCTCCACCCTAGTAGCGTCCTTGCTCCTAGTAGCAAGGCCAGGAGCGTCTTAGTAGCGCCCTCTTGCTCCTAGTAGCGATGGCCTCCAATCATCGAGAACACTGGAAAGTAGACGTCTGTGACATTAGCGCCCCATAGAACATGGACAAGTCCACAGGACCTCGATGTTGCCCAAGTCGAGAAGATCCTTGCCTTTCTGTGCGCTGATTCGTGCGCGACGCAGCGCGACGCGCTCAAGTGTTGTCTTTTTCCATCGCATCTCAGACACTAGGAGCATTCTTGCTATTAGGAACAAGAAGCTTTCTTGGGAATTGTTTCACCTGTAGTAACAAGAACCTTTTTGCTACGTCTTCGAAGCTTCTTATTAACAAGAAAGCTTTCTAGTAACTAGAAGTTTCCTTGGGAATCGTTTCACCTTGGGTTACTAAGAGGCTTCAAAGACATACTAGAACGCTTTATTGTTACAGGTGAGACAATCGCCAAGGAAGCTTGTAGTTACTAGAAAGCTTTACTAAGAAGCTTTAAAGACAGTCTCTCTTGGGTTTTGTGTCAAGAGTGTTCCTCAAACAGTCTTTCCGAGCGAGCCAAATGCATTGTGCGTGATCTATCCTGCGTCCAGTAGCTAGTAGCCCTCGTAGCGATGGCCTACTACCTAAGATGGCCTCTGCTTTGCCGTTTCTTTTTTTTGTTCTCAGGAAGATCGGAGATGTCGGGAAATCACTCATCTCCTTGTGCAAGAGCTCCTGCAAACTCTTCAACGAGCACGATGCCCTCCCTGATGACCCAGTGATTCCGGATGTCCAACTGTTGCCTGATATTCCAGAAAGCTTGAAATCGGTGGAGAAACAACTGGAGTCGGAAAGGAAATGCATTGAATCAGGTGTCTCGGATTTGTCTTCGCATGACGGGCGTTGATTTCTTTTAGAAATCTTTTTGGGAAATTAAGTTGGATCGAAATCGCTAGTAGGTTCGCATGAAACTAAGGAAGCTCTTTGAGCAGTGTGGGGTACCTTTCGAGATCTGGTTGGATCTCAACAATCCTTCCGTCGAAAATGGAATTTGCCAAGTTCATCATGAAAGTCACACTGGAAAGGCCAGATGACTTTGATCAGCCAGATATCCAGCATGTGGAGTTCTGGAAGCGAATGGGTTTCGAAGATATTGCTGAAGTGGTGCAATTGCGAAGTGGTGGAGAGCCTGTGCTGGGCGTGAGTTGTACTGGTTTGGAGGCGCTTTGTGGTCAACGACATGCCGACTTGCTTCGGCAACTGCCCTTGGATCCCAAGGTAGGGCCAATGACGGAAATGGTATTGGATGACAAGGGCCGATGACGGAGGTCACGGGTAAGTAGGGGTGTCCAAGACCTAGCGCTTCGAATGGTTCAAAGCCTCTTGTTCCTTGAATGTGTAGCCTTGTGCTGTAAGTTTAAGCCGTCCAATGACTCTGAGGAGACCATGGAAGGCACACAACAGAAGAATTTCTTGCATTGTTTCCTTCTTGTGCTACTTTTGCTTCTTGCTTCTCAAGTGATGTTCGTGTTGTTTTGGACCATATAGTATCCTCCAAGGACAGTCGCGTTTGAACCTGCCACGACAGACACAGGCAACACATGGCAACCCTGGAGAGACACGTTAAGGTAACTGTGGTGAAGAAACTACAGACGACTCGAGGCCATCGCTTCTAGGTTGGAGGCCATCGCTATTAGGTTGGAGGCCATTGCTTGGAGGCAATCTTTTATTCCTTTTTTTGCCGTTTTTTTTGTTGCCATCACATGTGATATTGTTTCACGCGCCGTGTTGCACGTGGTTGCTGTTTCTCGGATCACTACTAACTAGGGCATCGCTAGCAGTAACAAGTGCATCGCTACTAGTAACAAGAAGCCACTAGGAGCAAAGGGCATCGCTACTAGGAGCAAGGACGCTACTAGGGGCTCCTAGCATCGCTACTAGGAGCAAAGGACGCTACTAGGGGCTCCTGGCATCGCTACTAGGAGCAAAGGACGCTACTAGGGGCTCCTGGCATCGCTACTAGGAGCAAAGGGCGCTACTAGGGGCTCCTGGCATCGCTACTAGGAGCAAAGGACGCTACTAGGGGCTCCTGGCATCGCTACTAGGAGCAAAGGACGCTACTAGGGGCTCCTGGCATCGCTACTAGAAGCAAAGGACGCTACTAGGGGCTCCTGGCATCGCTACTAGGAGCAAAGAAGCTACTAGGGGCTCCTGGCATCGCTACTAGGAGCAAAGAAGCTACTAGGCGCTCCTGGCATCGCTACTAGGAGCAAAGGACGCTACTAGTACCTCCTGGCATCGCTACTAGGAGCAAAGGACGCTATTAGGGGCTCCTGGCATCGCTACTAGGAGCAAAGGACGCTACTAGGGGCTCCTGGCATCGCTACTAGGAGCAAAGGACGCTACCAGGGGCTCCTGGCATCGCTACTAGGGCATCGCTACTAGGAGCAAAGGGCGCTACTAGGGGCTCCTGGCATCGCTGCTGGGAGCAAAGGACGCTACTAGGGGCTCCTGGCATCGCTACTAGGA